TAGGTACTAGACAGTAAGCAACTAGGATAGTAAAAAAAAAATATATATATATATAGCTTTAAGAGGGTTAGGCCTACCCTAAAATTAAGGAACGCTCGACCTCGACACGTGATATCGAAATGGGCGAAATCGCCTCTTGATATCACTAACTCTCTTGACTCTTGACACTTTGGTTGTCCGACAATAACTAAAGAAATATTGGCCTGATCAATGCGAAAATTGGCAAGCGGATAGTTATGAACAAGATACAGGCTGAATTCGTTTTGTGGCGAACTTGCCCCTAAATTGGCATTTTTATTGCAAATTTTGAACTTTGAAATTTGGTCACGGAGGGGATGGCATGAGTACCCATGAGCCCTTCAGATTCTGAACCACAATGCACATGCGCGTACGACCCAGGCTTTGGGCACGGCGTCGTGTCAGCAACTAGAGCTGTAAGTTCCCTACCACCCTTGGCAGATGGATCCAACCACACACAGCCCTCCATCCTCCCATCAGTTTCATGGGCACCGTTTCTTTATGTTTACCAAATATAAATGAGAAATGAGGTTTTTGATGGTCGAAGACCAGAAAGAGGCATGGCATTTTGTTCAATTAGGTGACAAAATGAGGGTTTCCTCAACTGAATAGAGGCCCACTACTGGACTGGGCTTGTCCAACTTGTTCCAATAGTAGTCATGCAGAATGCTATAGCAGTACTGTTACATAGATTCAAGCAAATGCCCCAAACAAGAAGTGATATAAATCTCTTCCTTACAATATAACACCTTTAGTGAAAACAGAATATGATATTTGGAATCATGGAGCACTATTTGTGATTTTTGGTGCTTTTGGAAAAACTAATGATTTTAATTTTAAAAAGGGTCATTGTAGAGGCTTTTCATGTTATGCTCAATGTAGAACTGATGCAAAGTTAACTCTTTCAGGGGCAGTGGAAAAGAATCATTCCCAAAACGTTGAAAAAAAATCATCCTCGATCGCCCAGTCAGCAACAGCGTCCTCCATATGCCCCTCCAGCATACATTGCCATCTTGCGGATGTGAAGAAACCTCTTAGACAGATGAACCTTTCTCAATTATCAGCTGCATCTAACTGTCCCTTGAAGAGCCAATAAAAATAATGTGGTACGATTAACTTCTAATAACTGTGCTGTCAGAAAGGAGTTTGCCCAATATAATGTAATTTTGGCTTTTAGACCAAATTGATGAAATCATGTTTTGTCTTACGGTAGTACACTCCCATTTAAAAGTTGATTTTCATGAAAAACATCATTTTCCCAAAACTTGGTTCAGGCTATTGTATTTTCACTGCTCTATCAATGTGCGAAGGAAAAGTGAGAAAAAGCTTTCTCTATTTTTGCTAAAACTGCTAAATTAGTGATCATCATCAAAAACATTGTCTACCTCACAACGCCTTTGGCTCTTGGATGCATCCATCTGTATTGAATATTTTCACATAAAGTACATCGAACATTTTGTTGAACTGATAGACCCAATTTACCAACTTTTCCTGGCCTCCACTTGAAGTAAAGACACATGTTTTTGTCTGCCGGCTATTCTCAAAATAATCCAACTGTTTGTCAAATGCCATTGAATTCTGAGAGGGTTGAGCACAGGTCATTACCTCACTTAAGGTGGAATCATCCACCTCTAAGCACCTTTAATTCACCTCTAAATGGGCATTGCACAACTTAGGAAGGGGTGCTGAAATAAAGCTGACATGAATTTGAACACCTTGTAACTGTCCAATATCGATTGCATATCCAATGTAAACATTTTCTTTATATTTATTAAACTGAGTTTCTCCCATAGAAAATGGTTGAGTGATTTTTTTTTTAAATTACCCTATATATCAGCATTTATATAGTCTCATTTAAAGATTATTTCTTTTCAAGTTCCACTACCTTTCAACAGCAATGGTATTCTGGCTCATTTTGGCCCAATTCTCAGTACCTTCTTGAATCAGGTATTTCTGGCAGAATGTATAGATAGATGCCATAGCCAAGGCCCACATGATTGTAGAAAACCAGTTCTCTCAACTTCTTTAAGAGGGGCTATGCTGAAAACTTAGTGCATAAAACTGAAATAGAAAGCTTGCAGAAAATTCAAAATCTGATTAGATGGCTCTGGGAAACATCACCATAGCACCAGTACCATCTAGTGAAATTGCAGAAAGAATTTCCTCCCAGACTAGGGTGGTTCAGAATGGAGGGCAAATCAAAGTTTGAGATGATTCTTGCAGATTTTCCATGCATAATATAGACATTGAAAGATTTTCAGGATTAACTGCTTGATATCACATACAATACTTTCTGGACTCTCTAAAAAATGAGACTCAAGGATCGAGGAGTAACTTGATTTCAAACAGCTATATTTTTTTTGTCAAACTGTAATCTCAAGCATTTCCAAGCTGGTGAGGTCCTGTTGACCCCTGGAACTCACCTTTTTTTGGGATCAAACATAAACAGGAAGTTGAGTAGTTTGAGTCCTGCAGGTGACAGATTTGGAAACTTGACCTTAAGGTGATTGTAAGGCTGAGATTTGATGGTGAAATTCTGCAGGGCTGGGAGGGAAGAGAACCCAGGCCATATGGATTCACTGGGGGAACCCAACAGGTCCACTATCAGCTCCAACTGGTGAAGTTCTGACTTCCCAGGCAATAAAGGCTTGTGAAGCAGCAGCTCACCTATATAAACAGGAGATCCTCATCAGATATATGCAATAAGCAAGGAAACAGATGAAGATCAACATGACAGGCTGGCTGAATGTGTTGCATAATTCTTCAAAGGTTTTGAAAATCAATGAAACAGACATGGGAAAACTGAAAGAACATCAGCATGTCCCAAGCTAGTAGAGTACCAAGACTGATATTTTACAATGTGAAAATCCATGATACTTCAAGAAGAATTGCAGAAATCTAACCCTGACACAGCTCCCAGTAGGCATATGGAAAATGAGAAATTCATCTATAAGAGTCTAATAAAACAGTAACCTTTAGCACTTCATATTTAATCAAAGTGGCTAAAAAAAAAATAATAATAATAATAATAGTAAAAAGAGAAGAGTATACAATTCAGGGATTCATTGGTCTGGAATCAGAAGCCTGGATTAGCATGTCAATCATGATAGATGTGCAATTCAGCAGGCAGTGGGAAGATCAGCATGAAACAAATGTTCACAAAATGGGAACAGAATGAAAACAGACCAAATATGCATCCACAAGCCCACATGTCCACAGCTGAAGTCTGAGTCTTTGCACCAAGGAGAACCTCTGGAGCTCTGTACCACAGAGTAACCACCATAGGAGTCATTGGCTTTTCACCTGTCCCCATGAATCTTGCCAACCCAAAATCAGCTTTGGAGAAAAAGAGAAAAACGATTTTATTGGTTGCATTGTGATCCACTGTATCAAATGAACAAATAATGAGAATGACACAAAATTATGATGCCCATTCATAATAAGAACCAGTCAATAAATAAAATAATCTAATGCATGATTCTACTTGCTCATAAATGGGCTTGTAGTGAATGGGGAGTCAGTCCCAGATATTTTCTATTGTAGGGCAACACAAAGTTTGCATGATTTTTAAAAGATGGGGAAACAGAAATAGCTTTGAAAATATCTCAATTCATTCTTCCCCTCTCTAATGTATTTCAATTAAAGCCTTAAATCAATATTTAGAATAGTACTATTTGAGAAATAAGTTCCTGTTTTCCTTCAGAATGTTTCATGCAATCAATGGATGCTGGTTAACTTTACCATACAATTTTAAGGTTTGTCCATGGGTGAAGGTACAACAGGTATTAGACAGCATTACAAGGCAGAAAGACACAGCATTTTTTCATTTTTCTTCTAAAAGGGCATTTCATGACAACAGAATCAAAAGCCATTCATTCCCCAGACCATAAAAAACAGCTACACTGTCTGCTTGCCATCATCTATTGTCAAGGGTCTCATCCTCAAGTCAATCCTATCCTCATCCAGGTTTGAAGACAGTCTAATCCTGGTGTTTTGTCCCAATTCGATCCTGATGTTCCCAATCTCAAGGATGGTCTTTTTCCCATATTAAGAAATATTCTAGTAGATGTCTAATGAATGTCAGGCTGGCTCTTTGTAAATAAAGATTCTCTTTACAAACTGGAAGACAATTTTTCTCCAATGTTAATGAGTATTCCTACATCCTAGAGACAAGCAGACAAGGGCTAAGAGTCCACTCAATTGTGCTTCTTCATGAGATGAAGACAATATTGAGAAACCATTAGTTTTTCTTCAGAGGCCTAAGATGCCTAAGGTTCAGTGACACCTAACATTTCAATTACTCACCCAGGTAATTTACTGAATCTAACAACACAATATGACACACCAAATATGTAATTGAGATCACTTACCAATCTTCACAATCCCAGTGTCAGTAAGAAGAAGGTTTGATACCTTCAGATCCCGATGAACAATATAATTGGAATGGAGGTAACCAAGCCCTTTCAGCACTTGTTGTAGGATGCATTTCACTTGGGATTCATTGAAGGGAGCATTCATATTGTCAAGGAGACTGGCTAAATCCTGCTCACAATATTCCATGACTAGGAACACACTATCAAGACTCCTTCCTACAACTACTTCCTTCAGATTCACAATGTTTTCATGGTGACACTTTAGAAGAAGGGACACTTCTCGTAGGCTAGAGATTGGGAACCCATCTCCACTTCGCTTGTCTATTTTCAGCCGTTTCAATGCCACAATCTCATTGGTCAAGGTATCCTTTCCTCGATCTGACAGAGAAATTTTATTTAGATACCTCAGGAATATTTCAAGACACTGGAGCATTGCATGATAGACATCAGAGGTATACGAATGTATTTGCCTTACAGACAACCCCATAGGTACCCTGTCCAATTCGATTCAGTTTCTCGAAATCCGTGACTGGACGACATCTCCCAAACTGAAAAAAAGCATAGTTGGATCAAATGAAACATGCTGGTGCAACTCAATTGAAATCAATCAAATGGAAGGGTCTCAAAAGGCAGTAAGCAATAAGTTACTGAATAAATTAGGCTTTCCTTACCACGTCACCCTCTGGAATGGTCATGACATTCCCTGAGATGAAGGAAATTCCCAGGTCTCGTCTCTCTGGACTGCCACTGCGCTCCATTTCCTATTCTTGAAATGGAAGGACTCTATGCCTTCGAATGAAAGTAGGCCCCAATCTAGTAAATTAACCTAGAGATTAAAATCTGTTTTCTCCATCATGACTCCAAACCGAGCAACGCGATAAGCAAAAAGAAGGCTATGAAAAGAAGCCGGCAAGGCACGTGCTGCACACAGACACTCGGGAGCAACCATTCCTGACGTTCTTAGATTTCACAGTTGTCAGAAAAAGACTCGCTTCGGTCGCTAAAAAATAATAATTATTTCCTATTAATATTTGTTCAGGCTGAAAATAAAAGACAAAAGCAAGCGAAGTAAATATTTTCAATCAAAATATTTTCTTTAAAAGAAAGGACTTTTTAATGCAACGCTATTAAGAAAGCGTTTCTGCGTATTTGGATCGATACCGGGCTGGCAGCCTTATAGGTGCGGATCGTGGCTGAGCAGGGAGTCTGGTTGTTGATCGCTGTGTTTGCATCTGATAAAGCTGTTTTGCTTTTGATTGCGTGTGGTGGAAAAAGAGCCTGTGCGAGTAAAATCCTATTTGTTACTGTATTCCTCTGTGCTCTTCACCTCTACTCGTTCTCAACATGCCCAAGCACAAGTTGGAAGATTCTGACTCCGGCTCCGACTCCGATAGCAGCGGACCCGTAGATGTGAGCAACTTTATTCTAGCTTAGCTTATCGGGATGTAAGATACTACACTAGACCCTACCTGACGCATGGAACTTGAGGTCCATGAATGCTCCCGCACTCTTAACCTGCTCATCTAAACCCCACCTCTTCTAACATCACCGAAGTGATGTGCCTGTAAACAAATCCATTTTCTGGCCTATGCTGATGAAGGCAGAATGTTTGTAACTGTGGTGTCAATTGGATTAGACACAGTATTCTTAGCCAGCATCTTGGCATTCAATGCTTCATTTGCCTTCAGCTAACTAAATGATGTTCAGTCTTACCTACTGGAGCTTTTTTGGGAATAGTTCAGACTGAACAGGGCCAGCATTAAGAGTAGCAATCTATTAGGGTGCCCAAATAGCTAATTCCAGCCTTGAGACTGTTATTCCCAACTGACTCCAGTTGTAAATATTAATTTCAAAATGAAGATGGGCCTCTCTGTTGATGCTGCAGATACATTAATTAATGAGCCCAATTATCCATTGGACTCCCATAGAAGTCCATAAGACTATTACTGGCAGAGTACTAAGAAATGAATCTCTGTCCGTTTCCATCTTTTATCAATTGTTAATCATGTAATTATGAGTTATAAATAAAACCTGTATGACTTGGTTAGGTTTACTTGGTGAAAACTCAGAGGTGTGCAGGTGCTCATCAGCTAGATTAGGTGATTCTGACTTACTCACAATGAGCATGACATGTTCTTGAAGTGGTTAGTAGGCCTAGTCAGAGCCATGATCGCTCAGGCCTACTTGTCTGTCAATTTAGCATTAGCTGGGTGTATCCTTCTGGGATTGTTTGGCATCAATCCAGGCTGGAATGTCTGAATTAAGTTACTTGCAGTGAAAGTGTCAGGCTTCTAGGTGTAAGTGCTTGGGGTACATGGAGTCTGGTCACTGATTGGTAAGACTGGTGAATAGCCAGAGTCCACTGCATCTCTCCTAGATGCCCATTGAGGAGCCACACAAATAATGGTTGAACACGCTGTACTTCCACCAGTTGGGCATTTTGATGACAACCTTTTTCCTCCAATGATGAGTTGCAAACCTAGCAGAGCTCTCTGAGGTAAGTGCAAACTGGAACTACCCTTCCTTGACTCACTGGTGAGTCTGCTTGGACATGCATCGGTATTGCACCTAGATGGAGAACATATGGTGGAGGAGTCATACTCACTCACATTGAGGCCCATCTCCTTTCAGGTCTTGATTATGTTCTTTTGTGGCTGATTTCTCCTCACCACTTGAGCCCTTTCTCAAGAGTAGCAGGTAAATAACTTCTCCAGTACTTCCTTTTTTCTTCAACTTTTCTATCTTCAAGGACCAGACTTCTAAAACATCCCCTGTTGGCAAAGGGGATCCCTGATGATATGAAAGGGAAGCAAGTAAGGTGATTGGATACACCAGACTACAGGTCACTTACTTCTTGACAAATATCTCAAATTGTTCAGAGTTTCTGCAGGAACCCCAACACATTAACCCTTCATTAGTATATACCTTGGACTGCAATGTCTGTTTATTTTTGCTACTGTGAATTGCTTTCTCCTTCCAAAGCCTTGGGAGACCAAAGGGGTATTCTTGACATTCTGAAAATCTTTAAAAGTACCCCATTGCTAATTTAGAATTGAAGATCAAGTTCTAAATGAGATAAGGAATAATATGGAATAAAATCGGCTTATTCTAATTTAGACTTAATATATTAGCTTTCATAGTGTCATTCTGACAGCAAACTGTAATGCTTTGCCTTCCTCTTGACCCAGAGAAAGCCTGTGAAGAAAACCAAAGGAGGTCCCAGTGCTCCAAAGAAAGAAGAAGGGAAGTTTCAAACCCAAGATGATGAAGGGAATCCAACTTGGCAGCTGGAAAAGAAGCGTTTTGTGAAAGTACGAGCTTTCAAGGGAAAAACCTACATTGACATCCGGGAATACTATGAAGCAAATGGAGAGCTGAAGCCTGGCAAAAAAGGTATTACTTTTTACTATGGCTTATATTAGCCTATGCATAACTTGACCCTACTGAATGGCAAGGAAAGTATGTATTTTTTCAGGGTCAAATTACTTGCATGGATAGCATTGAAGTATTCACATAAATGATGCTGAATTTATTTTGCTTAAGCTTCTTATCAAGAAATGTTCACTGTTCCTATTGACACAGATTTAGCCTTATAATTAAAGCCTTATCTGTGGACATTGTTATGCAGCATTTCTCATGAGATATGAAGGCCTTCTCTATAGTCACTTTTATGTTTAATGCTTCTGAATTATGTAATTTTCTAAGCTTATTCTTTTCATGCTTCATGCATTAACTGCAAATTTTCTCTCCCAGGAAATGATGCAGATGGTCTAGTTGAGGGGAATTGGTGTATCATGAGCATTTTGCTTTTCTTTTCAACCTTCAGAAATCATTTAATGATTAGAATTAACTATTCTTTTGAAGAATCATAACATAAAAATTTATAAGCATTCCTTTGCAAGATGAATGCATTCTGTTTTGAAGGAAAGATCTCATGTAGCATTTCAAGATTAAGTCTTGTCATCCTCTGCTTTTTATAATTAAGGAGTTACTTTTTTATTCTTTGGTGAAGCCTCCAAAAATAAATAAGTGCATCTCACACTTTTATGGAAAGCACACCCTGAACTAGAAATCCTCCATCCATGAGCACCATGTTTTGGTGCATATTATATGTAGATGTGGGTTAAATATGAGTTCAAGAGTTTGCTATTATGGAGGTTCCACTTAAGACTTTTTTGGTAAAAGTAAAAGTTCTCTTCTTTTGTTCCTCTAAGAACTTATTTAGGCTTTAAAATTGCTTCATTGAGAATTCCAACAGTGCTCTACAGAAGCAAGGGGACTGTTAAACAATGTTACCCAAAAATAAATTTACAATTTGTACAAATTACCTTTCATCAGCTGTCTTGCTTAGCTTGTCTGTGACTGCTTCCTTATTTTGATATGCTTAATTTCAGGTATCAGTCTAAGTACACAACAGTGGCAGTCTCTGAAGAACTACGTTGATGAAATCGACGATGCAGTGAAGAAGATGTCGTAAAATATCTGAATCATTTCTTATTTTTGTCCAGCATTGACCTGGTTCATTGTTGTGCTGAGGGTCTTTCTGCTCACTTCAGAAAGATCTCTGTTTCTTTCTCTGTGTGTCTATGTTGTAAGTTGTATTGTTGTGGAGTTTTCATCTAGCTAGCTGTCATCTTCTGATGTTGATTAAAAGACCCTGAAAGATATAAAATTGACCAAACTTATGTATTGTCTCATCTAATCCATTGCCTGTCCAAGCAGTTCCATACTGCTCTGAGATTCTTATCTCTGCTGGGCCTCTGTTCTTGCTCATCAAATATTTTCCAAGTTCAATTTGTTACAGCCTCTTTTTTACTTCTTCCCTTTCTATTAAATGCACCATTCCAAATCAAAACTGAGAATTCTGGAAGCAACCAGTAGTATGGCTCTATCCATCTTTCAATCATTGCCCTCCAGAAATTCCTATCAAGAATCATCATGTTTTGTGTACTTTGTATACTAAAACAAAGATGAAGGGAGCCATCCATATGGTATTTATTTCAACCTTATCACATTAAGGAGTTCTGAGCATTGAGTGGGAGAAGAAAGGACCATTCCCCCTCAAGAAGCACTAGGGGGAATGCTCAGATTTAAATTGAAAAATGTATATTTTAGCATATTTTAAAACTCATGTGTCTTTTCCAAATCCAGTTGACCCTCTGCTTAAGCAAAGGCTACCTCACTTCATAAAAATACAGGGTAGTCCACAATTGTCTCCCCAAAAGTAAAAGCTCATTAACCAGAAAGTATATAACTGATTTCAATTATATATGACTCAGACAATAGCCAATACAACATATTTTTTCAATGGAAAATTTCAGCATTCCATAAAAAAAGAACAAAGTTGCACCATAACAAATGAAGGTATCCATATTGTGTAACTAAGGCCTGTAAATATCACAATAACTTCTGAAATAAAAAATTCATTCATGGGGTTTTCATGCAACACAAGGGATTGTCTGTGCTATGGGTGACCTCAGTATCCTGCAGAAGATGAATATTGCCATTTGGTTTGATAAATTGAAGAGAGCAAATTTGCATGGGAAAAATTTGGAAATTTCTTTTGTTTGGGTACTAATGCCTCAATTCCTCATGAGATCATGAAAGCAATTCATAAGAGGTTTCAGAACCTGAAGTGATATATCGGCGGACCTATGGCAACCTAGATGTGCTGAAACAGGCCATTAGAGATGACTTTGCCACAGCAGGCCTAGAGATGATTGGAAGAATTCTGCTGGCATTCAAAGAGAGACTGCACCTAGTCATTGAACATTGTGGAAGTCACATTGAACACTGATGATTTGGTAGCTTTCGTTTGTAAGGATGTAACTTTGTTGAAGTTTTTATGGAATGCTGAAATTTTCTACAATGAAAATATATTGAATTGGCTATCATTTGAGTTATATATCATTGAAATCTGATGTATACTTCCTGAGTAATAAGCTTTTACTTTTTGGGAGGCAATTGTGGACCACCCTGTATATAGACACATTCTTCATTATCATACCCTCTTCAGTGTCTTCTGTAAAAAAAAAAAAAAAAAAAGTTCTTGTGTTGAAATGGGTGCACATAGTGAGATCAAGGCTAAAGAAAACACCATGGCAGCTATTTGTGTTACTTTCAGAATCATGGTGTCATGTTAAGTGTCTATGTTCCTATGTGAAGCTTCTCCCAGACCACCTGGATGATTCATGAACTACTGTTTTTAGAACATGAACTCAATAGATTTGACACATCTAATGTACAGTAATAGCAAGCAGAGATTCTGATGTGGTGTGCAGATATTAACTATCACCCACACTTTTGAAGAATAAAATTGGAATCTTGTTGTTTTTGTTTTTATCTTTCATGAATATTTTAGTTTTTCTTCATATTTGATGTTTTCATGAATATAAATCCTCTTCTTAGTCATCATACTTGATGTTATATTGCATATCTGACATTCTTATCTACATCTTTCTGTCGTATTTCTATACAGAACAATGCATATAAGCACAAAAAAGCAGTGGGCTCATTTTATTTTGCTTTTACTGTTTCCCTCATGAGACAGAAGACATTCTTATTTTTTTTAAATAAAAATTGTTGCTGAATGAAGTAGCTATGGCAAGTCTACTGGGAAGAGGCTGTGATATTAGTTTTGAAAAAATGTTATAGGTGACTGAAATGGCTTAAATGACTGTTACAGGGATGGCTGGATGGATGCCAGACTTAACATGAGCATCCTTTCTTCAGTCCTGGATTTTTTTATTCTCAAAAGACAAGAGCATTGGTGAAAGATTATGAGTTTCCTGGGGTCAGGACCTGGGAAAGGAGCTGCAAATCGTTGCCTGAACATAGTGCGTCATAATGAAGATGGAGAGATGGGGGCTGGAGGGCAGGAGTATATGGGAGACATGGGAGAGAATCCTTGCATTCAGCTCATGGCCACTGGGATCAATCACTTAAATCTTAACCAAGAACATTATCACTGGCAGGTAAGTATTCAATAACATTTACTGTAGATTCTTATTTTCCTGTCTAACTGCTAATTGACTTTTAGATGTGGAAACTAAAAGTCTGTTAGCAGCTAAAAGGGAGAACACAAAATAAATCCAAACTTGTTGAAATTCTTTCAAAAATGATTTTACAATGTTCATTCCAGGCAACGAAGTCAACATTGAAGGAACGATTCATCTTTCTCTTCAACAATGAAATCCTCAGTGATGTACATTTCATTGTGGGGAGAGGAGAAATGCAGCAGAGGATTCCAGCTCACAAATTTCTCCTATCTGTTGGAAGTGCTGTATTTGATGCTATGTTCAATGGAGCCATGGCTACCAAGGAACCAGAGATTGAGTTGCCAGATGTTGAGCCAGCTGCTTTCCTGGCCCTCCTACGATTTCTCTATTCAGACATGGTCCAAATAGGTCCTGAAACAGTGATGGCAACCCTGTATACTGCCAAGAAATATGCTGTACCTGCTCTGGAGAATGCTTGTGTAGATTTCCTAAAACGAAATCTGAGTAGCGACAATGCCTTCATGCTCCTAATGCAGGCACGGCTCTTTGATGAACCTCAACTATCCACACTATGCTTGGAAACAATTGACAAAAACACAGCAGAGGCTTTGGCTGCTGATGGGGGATTTGCTGATGTTGATCAGGAGACTTTATGCTGTGTTCTTGAGAGGGATACCCTTCGCATCAAGGAAGCCAAGCTTTTCCAGGCTTGTGTCAGGTATATATTCTCTTGCTTTTAGATGCATTACAACTTGCCAAGATAGAATGTTGTAGTGAATAGTAAGAAACAAATCCATGAAAATTTGCAGAATTTGTGTCAAACCTAGCAGGGAAATGGAGAATATGTGATAGATGAAAATATGGACTTTGCAGAAATATTGAAAAATCAGATATTTTTCCATTTTTGTTACAGGAAAATACTTCCCTTCGAAAATTTTATGTTTTCACTCTTCTAGGATGTATGGGTGATTAGATTTCACTGTACAATTGATATCCAACATATTTTGTTTGTATTTTTTAAATTTTTATTCACATGAAGCTGGGAGCTGATGAAAGCATTTAGAAGAAATACTTTGACTACATATGGGGCTAGACCAGGCCTAGACCTGTTGGTAATTTGTGTCTTGCACTCAATGCAATGCTATCATGCATACTCATTCCTGTATCAAGTTCAGAATGTTCTCATAACACCTGCTATATGCCTCCTTTGCTTTGAGGCAGTATGAGAGAATGGATGAGTCAGTCTAGCAGTCAAGCACTAATAAAGGATGTAGATTAAGTTAGGGGACTTTGTGTATTTATGCTGGAGAAAGTTCAATGGCTGCAGGATGTACCATTAACCTTCCTATTCTGTTCGGGTCTATATGACCCGAAACACTGATTCAACTTGATGTAGCTTCTCTGTATTTCACCGAAAAAATCTGAAAATGTCTTACTTTTCCTAACTTTTCAAATATATTTACGACTTCAAAGGTGGACTCATTTCCACAAAACATTACTGAAATATTTGTGATACCCCCTCCTGTTATGCTCGGGTCTATTTGACCCGATTGCAATACTAGTGCATTTTCAACACCGTCTTGGACCTTCTCGGAACAAGTTTCTGGAGCAGTTGCCCTTGAGAAATGTATTGATTCTCAAAGTCAAGTGTTCTGCCAGTTTTGGGAAATTGCGGATTCATTCTGGTTTAGGCAACACGAGCCCATCTGGGTCGCTGTGTGACTTCTTGTTGCGTTACATCCTCTTGGAGCATTTTTTTTGCCTCGTCCTTTTGTTGCTGCATTAGCTTTGGCATATCTCTCATGTTTTTCAGAGACTGTATGAAATACACAATGGAATCAGCCCTTTTTCGTCTATGGAAATCTGAACTTTACATAGGACATGGAGAAAAACTAATTAGACATATTCCTGACGTGGCACATGCACAGCGCTCAAAGGTTAGCGAGCATACGCTAATAATGTTCAAGAGGTGTTGACTTGTTCAGCAAAAGACAGATATAATGCCATCACAACTCCTACTCTGCGAGCGAGCCCTTTATTACCTTGTAATATTTATTTTGGGTGCCAGTATATTATGATATGTTGGACACCTTGGTCTACAACGCATATGTGCTGTGGACTCCAAAAAAAACCGGGATGGCACTAGAAAAAACTCTTCAAATGAAGATTGTTCTTAGAAGAATTGGACATGCAGTTATTTTGCCCATTGCTAGAGAGAGGAGAATGTTTTTCACGCACACCGTTCTCTGCTTCCGTCGTCATTTCTGCACGACTGCCTAGACCATGCAATGACTCGAGCTCCTTTGCTAGACTAAGTTCAACAAGCAGCAAAAAAGAGCCGTACTTATTGTCTCTCCGCTTATGACAAAAAAAACAAGCATCAACTGAACGTCGTATGGAGAATATATTTGCAATGTGAGCCCAAGTACGCTTCATGTGCCTTGCAAAATCAGTTATGAACTCAGTGTTAACAATAAATAGGTATGCAAACATAGCTAATAAAATAATGAGCACATGTGTGATAGGTCCTTTTGCTATAAGAAATCATGAAGCAGCAAAAAACTCAAGCGAATTCCTATTCAAATAAAAGGAAACGTATATCGGGTCAGGGTGACCCGAACGTTAACGGTGTACCTAAAATGGGAACAGAATAGGAAGGTTAAGAATGGTATGGGTGCTATGCCTTTTCTACGAGTTTAAGGAAGGCCATAACGCGGCTTTGGCTTCCAACAACATTATCTAAGCATGGGGCAAGGACTCCGTCACGGAACGCGATGCCCAGCGCTGGTTTCAAAGATTCCGTTCGGGTGACACAAGCCTTCAAGACGAACTCGCTCTGGCCGTCCATCCATCGTCGACAACGACGTCCTCAAGTCACTGATTGAGTCGGCCCCCTGCCAGACGGTCCGAGAACTCGCGACAATCCCCAACGTTGATGCCAACCATCTGCGGGACATCGACAAGGTCCGCAAGCTCGAGAAGTGGGTCCCCCCCACGAATTGAACGAAAAGAACAAAAATCAACGTCGCGCGATATGCACTTCGCTGCTTCTGCGGAACAAGCATAGACCATTCCTCGACCGAATCGTGACGTGCGATGAGAAATGGATCATGTACGACAATTCTCGATGCTCGGGACAATAGGTGGACCACGATAACCCACCAGCAAAGACGCCGAAACGCGACCCCCACCCAAGAAAGGTCATGGTTACCGTATGGCTGGCGTCATCCACTACGACTTTCTCAAACCTGGTGACACTATCACTGCCGAGGTCTACAGTCGCCAACTTGACATCGTCGGAAAAAAATTGCGGCAGAAACAGCCCGCATTGGCCAACCGTTAAGTCCCCTTCCTCTTGCACGACAACGCCCGCCCTCACGCTGCAAAGATGACTACCCGGAAGCTCAAGGAGTTGGGCTATGAGACACCCACCAGGGGCGGACTGGCCAACTGGCAGCTCTGGCAAATGCCAGAAGGGCCGGCGGGCCGGTCCTCATGTACCCTATCAGTCTTATGCAGCTATGAAACAGTACATTATCACGCATTTCTAGTAGGCCTAGGGTAAAGCATCACCGAGCGACATTTAAGAGTTTGGGATCGTCATGCGATGCGATGAAAAGAAAGCGTGGCGAGTCAGGAGACATGACTCGGAGAATATTCTAGACGTGACTAACAAAAGTTCATCTTGTTAGCATTCAGCCTCTGTGATGCTGATCTTGCCCCTCCTTTTGTAAAAGAAATATGAGCACGATTTATCGTAGGATGTGCACTTCCTCCGAAATTATATCGAATTACGGCTAATGAAGTGGTGCCGGACGAAGTGTGTCATTTGCTATTCGCGCATCTTGGACCAACAATTTTTGGATATGACCTTTAGATAACTCTAAACTTCAGTTTTGAACAAGGGAGAAGCAATTAAATCTTCTGGAAACGAACACAGAGGGATGTCGCCTGACGATTCCATAGAAGGAGAGAGAATCGCGGTGCGATTTGGAGTTTTCGCTTCATGAACCTGTGCATCGTGGGTCGACCCCCACTTCATCTATCCGTAACCGATTTGACGATCCACCTCATTTTTCTCTGCAAAAGACCTGCAATCTGGCGTGTCTTTCGTGGCCTTTAAAAAACTATGCTGTCGCAATTATAGATAAGTTACTGCAGTTTCATTCATTAAGAGATCGCATCGTGCTCTTCGTCATCTTTCTATCGCAGGGAATTTTGAGATTCAAGAATGAGAATGTCTAGAATTTTGAACTAAGGTGGATGATGTTGGATAATGTGTGAAAGATGACAATCACAGAAGCACCAGTGTAATATGGGATTCCTCGAACCACTCTCGATGCAATTCACACGAAACCGAATTCTGCTTCCTTCCATTCCAAGGAAATCGTGATCGATCGGAAATCGGGAGCTCGTGACGGCTGGTCGCACAAAAGATGCACGGGGATTGCGTTTCGGAATGTAGCTAACGAGGACATGGACGATCTCTATACCTTGTGTCCCACATGCGTGTCCTTCAAATAGGCCACACGAAAAACATTCAGACCAGTCGATAATCAGAAATTCGTAATTTTTGTAACCGCTACGTGTACGATCGCTAACTTTATGATTTAACCAGGAGGAACCGTTATATTCGCAAGAGATCGCAAAGTACAGGGTGTCCATGAAGTGACTTCTTGTGGACAGCTTTTTACATACGCAATCTGGGGGGACCCACTTTTTTTATTTTTGCAGGCTGTTTAGCAATAAACGTCGGAATGGTGTCACAACTTTTGTTCCTACACTGTAATTGGGACTGAAAATTCTTTTAACACCCCATTGTTTCAATTACAGATTTAAAACATTTGGAGAGTAGCACTCCGAATCGTCAACTAGGGCAAGTGGCCTCCATGATCTCCGAATTTTTACCCCTTGTGATTTTTTATTCTCTGGGCTACTTAAAAGGCATTGTTTACGAGGACAAGCCCACAGATCTGAACAACTTGAAAAAGAATATCTCTCTCGCCATGAGTCCCGAAAAATGATGGAATTCTCATGGATGTTGTCAATTGCGACAACGCAATTGAAAGGGTTGAGAGATGTCTGGAAATCGGCGGCCTACACATTGAGCCAATTAGTCGAGTAAATGTCTAATTTTTATGATTTTGAGTTTCTATAATGCTCTATTATTCAATCAATACGGAGATAACTGCAATGAGTAGTTGTTGCAATAAGGTCGATCCGCGACATTTCCCTCGAATTCATGTATGACTTTCTTTTCCTTTCAAATGAATAAAAAAAATCATGAAACACCGGATGTGGGAAATGAATTCTGGGACGCACCAAAGTGGAAGGTAAGAAAGATCCGACACTATTCCGAAGTCGAAACGTTGTCAGTCGACAAAAGCTTAAAGAAAAGGCTACATCAGGGTCTGTAATAAAAAATTCGCCATAGGTAGTCTCTTTATGGACACCCTGTATGACTTAAATAACCTACTCAGTAATCCTCGAGAAGAATAAACCGGGACCATATTCATTTACCCATTTGCATCGTCATCCGATGAAGCCGACTGGTCCATGTCGTTCCACGATTCCCTAACTATCGATCGGCGAAACTCTTCGTCGCTCCACGATTACACATTCTCCCAGCAAAAGCAACGTAAAAAACAAACGATATTGTCAGAAAGGGTTGGGGCTAGTGAATGATTTTTTCACCTTTCTACAGGAGAATATAGTACCTTTCATGATGAAAATTTTCACT